TCATTCCATCAACAGTTAAATAGAAGCTCAAAAGTGATCAATTCAACTGGCAAGGCATACAGAGAGACTATACAGCAATAATCTAGATTCTGAAATGCTACCCAAAATCTGTTGTAATAACCCAATGTCTGGACGGACTAGGACTGTCAAAAAAGTTTGCAACAAAAATTCCAGTTCAGTGACAGGAATGGTTAGTGGAGTAAATGACAAAACAGTTAAGTTTATGGGAGGAAAGCCTGTTTTGGGATATGAGGAATTTGAGTGATAAGATGACATCCAACTAGAAATGCCTAGAAGGCAGTCAGATATTTAAGATTTGAAAGAAGATAAAAGACTAAAAATAAAGATTTGGGTACCATAAGCACAGAAAAGATAGTAGTTGGAAGCTTTAAGAATGGATAAGTTTTCCAAGGGTGTGAAGAGACAGATAAGTATTACAGGCCAAAGATTAAGGTAAGAGAAAAAGAAGTCAGCAATGAAGATAGGAAAGCACTAGGTCAAAAAAGCCCAGGAAAAGAGAATTTAAATGAAGAAAAACTCAAAGACTAACACCAGAAACTTCATTTACATTTGCCTTCCACATTCTGAAAATCTGCCTAATGAGAAATAGTAGTAACAAATATGTCACAAAGTGGAAGCACAGTGTTAGAACTCGGTATGCACTAGTGCAACTAATATTGGTTCCCTTCCTTCCCTCCCACCCACCTGTTGCTACACCTCCACTAGCTAGAAGGAAAGTGGAAAGAAAGGTCAAGCTCTCAACTGGCATCCTGAAGCAGTGTGCTAATAAAAATGCTACATGCAGGATAGCTATATTTTCATAAAATGTATGTCAAACTTCACAACAAATGTATCCTTAACCCTCCTACCCACTTTTGTTTTTCTTTATAAATTTACAAATCTTAAGCATTTTTCCCCTGCAAAGATTTAACAGATTTAATGAAACACTATCCCTACTCAAAATCACTGAGAAATTGTTACTAGGCCTAGATAAAATAATTTTATGGTAAACAAGTCAGGAAAAGGAAAACAGCTCCCGATAATCACTACAGATTGTAACACTGTCAGTAAGAAAGAGAATCATAAAGACACTGGAAAGAATCTGACTTACAGAAAACCGAGGCTGAGTAATTTGAATGTCCTAGGAAACAAGTGAATAGTTATCATAATATACCTTCATATTTCCAGACTACCTTAGCATTTATACTTATAATATGAAAAACTAACTTATTTAGTTCTTGAAATAAATTACAAGTGTTCAAGAAAAGGTTATATAGCCACTTATGGTTCTTCCAGCTACATTACTTTACAGCTAGTATCCCTTATCTAAAATATTTGTGACCAGAAGCACCTCAGATTTTGGATTTTTTCAGATTTTAAAATATCTGCATATACATAATGAGATATGTTGGGGATGGGACCCAAATCTAAACGCAAAATTCATTTATGTTTCATATATACCTTATACCCATAGCCTGAAGGTAATTTTACATAATATTTTTAATAATTTTGTGCTTGAAACAAAGTTTTGACTGTGTTTTGTCTGCAACACATTACATGTGGTCAGGTGTGGAACTTTCCACTTGTGGCATCAAGTCAGCACTCAAAAAGTTTCAAATTTGGGAGAATTTCAGATTTCAGATTTTCAGATTAGGTTTGCTCAACCTGTAATACTCATCATTAGTGTCTCAACAAAAAAGCTATCCTGTGGGTAAGGTGGTTTAAAAAGTCATTTGCCAGCAAACTGTTCAGAAACCAAAAGGTTTGGGAACTTCCATTTCTGAGAGTGAATCTAGTAAAGGAAGTGGAAAATAAATAAGTGACAATTTTATTTTTTGAGATTACAAAAAAAATCTAGAACTATAGTAGTGTATATGGCACATAATACATACTCGATAAGTATCAGTTAAATAAATCAACAAAGGTCAAAATAATAGAGAAAGGCAACCAAGTAAAAGGAGTATTGTCTCTACAATATATGAGGGGTCCAAAGTCCAGGTCCAGACAGGGGAGAATAAGAACAGGCTCACTTGTTCATTGTAACATTGTTTAAAATATTTCTCATATATATACATATAATATATATACATAAGAATAGACTCACTGGAAAAGGTGAAGTCACTTGAAAGATCATTCTGGACAGTAGAATGAATGAATGCTCAATGAAAAAGATAAAATATTATGCAAAGAAAATGCATGCTAGATACTACAAAACAGGAAAAAGGATTTTTGTCTCCAAAGAAAAATTCCATCTTTACCAAGTTCAGATTGATATGGTAATAAAAAAAATTTCAATAACAGCTATCCATAAATAGCTGTGGAAGTAAACAGAAAAAATGGCCATGGTTATAAGATTACAAGGCAAAAAAATAACCAAATCTGTCTGTTGCCTACTCTTTTTTTCAAAATGTTCTTTTAAAAGTCTTGGGCTCCATGATACTTGGCTGTCCTAACGCTGAAGGCCTTGATTGTTTACTTCCTTGACTCTTCCTCTTGGTTCAATCTTCATCTTTCACCCTCAGTTCTCTCCCTACTCTTTCTCCCTTTATTATTTTATCAATTTCAACTTTCACCTTTGTGCAAATCATTTCCAAATCGTTATCTGTAATTATGAGCTCAGTGCTATATCTCCAACAGTCTACACGTCATTTCTTCATGGTTGTCCCACTATCCCCTCAAACACAACAAATCTAAAATTGAATTTATCTGTAGGCCTATTCTTTCCAAGCAATTTCCAAACCTGACTTTGCTATTTTCACCATTCTCCCTGTAATCCAGGCTCAACATTTTTTAGAGTCATCTGACTACTACTGCCTCTCTCTTTGGTTCCCCCTTCTTCTCCCCAAGCCTGCCAATTAAGTTCCATCAATTCTTCCTTCCTCATTCTCACACCCCGATTTTGGGCTTCAAACATTTCTAGACCATTACAACCTTAAAAAACCCAACAAAACAAAAACACTTCCCAAACTCACTCATCCTACCTCCACTCTTTTACCACACTAACCCACTGTGCACACAACTACAAAATTCATATTCATTAACCCTGGCACAGTCTTACTTACAAATATTTCACAGCCACAGCACCCTACAGACAATCTAAACTCCTTAGCCGACAGCAAATCAAATCCTCCACAATCAAACTCCAATCTATCCTTCCAACTTTACCTTCCTCCGTTTCCCTAAACATGGCATAGTCCATCATGTGTCCATCCTGTATTCATGTTATTATCCTCTACTGTCCCTCTGAGTACCCTCCATCTAAATCCTATCCATCCACCATAAGGCACTTTGGCCCTCTCAACTCACAGTGATTTCATCCTCTCAATTTCTAAGAGCGTTTATTTGGAATTTATAACATTTTCTCAATCTGTGAAGTGTTTTGCTTTGTTTCTATGTATGTATGTGAGACTATGTCTTGTCTTCCAACAGACTAGACTGTTAAGGAAAGAGTTCATGACTTACATTTCCTTGTATCCTGCACATCTTAATAAATATCTGTTGAGGTTCCCACCAAATGAAACTACAGTAAGAGGCTAGAAGACAACTAAAAAAAAATAATAAAAGCTACTAAACCCTGCCTGTAACATAACTTCATGGAATAATGAGATTAAAAAGCAAAATAAAATCAGATATATGGAAACTGTATAAATATTGAAAGATGAATTAGGTCTCTTAGAAGTTATAGAAATCCTTACTGAAAAGATGTGTTCTAATTCCTTCCACTAATCTCATTTAATAAAAAGTCTTAAAATGTATTAAGCATCAATTTTCTTTACTGTTTCTCAATATGAGGAGCATCCATAATGTGGGTGAGACATTTCAAACAACCCACAGTACTCTTATTTCATAGTTGGATGCTTAATTTTGAAAGCTTCGGGGAGAAACCGTCCTGCAAAACCCACACATACTGAAAAACGTAAGCAGCTATTTAGAGTAACTAAAATGTTAATTTTAAACAATCTACATAATTTTCCTCTGATTCAAGATGGGATTTTTGAATGGTATTAGTTCTTTGAAGGGCATTATTCTGTTTCCTTAATATTAATCCCCAAAATTGTGTATATCTAACATTACTTCACTGAAGACACTGTAAAATCCTACCCATATATATGCTCCCTGAAACTTTATTTTAGAGATTATATGGTTTTTGTTTGGACTAAAATAGAAATATAACTTTTAGTTGTTCAGAAACTCGTTTATAGTTTGCAACCATTAGTGTTAGGGGAAATTGATCAAACTCAAGAACCCCAATTATTTACAGATAATTGTATATGCTATCAACCACTGAACAATTTTTAAAATAGGACTTTGGCTTTTCATGTCATAAAGACTTCTTCAGAATGTTTTAAAAGTGACAGTGTTAAGTGCAACACCACCAAAAAAGGCAGTTATATCTGTATGATACTTCTGTAACCAACAATATTTTAAAAGGAGTTAACATTCTGATGACCTGTGATCAGTTATCTCGGATTTTTACACTAAACAGTTCAGGAAAAATTCCTTCAGATTCAAGCCACCTATGACATTTTGGCTCAAAAATCACTTCCTCAATATCGATTCTCCATTGTCACCTCCAAGTCTAAAAACAAATCCCCTAGGAGCTAAATCGCAGAAAATGCAAAGTAGTCTTTCCAATGTTACTGTCACACCAATCAGGAAGATTAATATTACTACGATCGCCATTCAACAAACTATTTACAGAGTAACTTTGACGTGATAACTCACGATGCCTGCAATAGCAGTTTATAAGTATCTTTCGTGTACTGATGAACTGAGTCAGAACTAAGTTCACAGAATAGTTAGTACAGAGCCAGTGAAATGGTAAATAATTTGCCCATGCCATGAAATCTTAATGGTATGCTAAGATTCTGAGCGAACAGAAACCTGGTGTTTTTCAAGAAGAATATGCACACCTGAGACTTTTTTTTGCAGCTAAGTAGACTGAAAGCAAGAGGAAGGCAATACATGCAGAACCCCAGACAAGCAAGAGTGCTACTCACCAGCAAACAATCCGAATTCACTTCCGACTTGGGATCCCGCAGCAGGTTGTCGATTTTTTCAAATCGAGTCTCAAAACTGTCCCCAGTCGACATGTTGCTGCTACTGTGACAATACCCTTGTACCAGCACCAGCCCGGAAAGCAATTTCAACCAACTTCCTCCGCGGTGGGTTCGCAGCCGCGGGGCTGAGGAGCCGGAACCTCAGGGTCACCAGGTGCGCCCGGTTCCCCCTCCGCCCCCTCACTGAGGGGACCTCCGCTCTCCAGACCCCGGGCCGGGGGCAACAGCGACCCACAGCCGCTCGGACGCCCAAAGTCGCATCCCACCCGGCAGCCCCTCACGACAGCCGACAGCGCCGTCGCCGCTAGCCTCGTAGCTCCGGCGAGGTGCTTCAGCCTAGCGGGCCCCCGCCGCCGTCGCCAAGGAGTGGTCCCCGTCCCGAGATGGGCAGGAGGGGAGAGAGAAAGAGAAGCAGGGTGGAGACTCCCTCGGGGCAGCAGGGGAGGGAGAAGAGGAAAGGCGAAAGCGAAGGGCGGGTGAGGAGCTGTGCCAGCTGCAGCCGCCGCTCGGGCCACGGGCCGGGCCCGCTCCGCTCAGAGGCGCTGTAGGCGGTCTAGCCCCGCATCCCCGGCTCTTCTTGGCCCGGCCCGACGCACCGATCCGTCTCGGCCAAGAGCTGGTCCCCGCGGGGCAGCCTCACTCTCTCATTTTGTCCCGTCGCTGCTGGGGTTGCTGCTACGGTGTCCGGCGGGGCAGGGCGAGGTCGGTGCCCGACGTAGACTTAGGAGAGGAGAGGCTGGAGAGCGGGCGGTGAGGAAGACGACAGTCGGGTCCTGGCGGCTGCTGATGGGGGAGATTCTGGGAGGGGCAGCGGTCGCGGCTCGGGAAAGGGCGAGTCGCGGCGGCGAATGCCTGGGGGGGGTGGGGCGAGGGGGGCCGAGAGAGACTAATATGTCCGCCTTCCTGTTCAAACAAACGGAGACCGCCGGCGCGGACTGCGCATGCGGGGCGCGGACGGTCGGAAGGGGAACCAGCCGGGCCCCGCGCGCGCGCACGCTGGCGCCTCCGCAGGGCGGGGTCGGGCCGCGCCGGGCCGCGCCGGGCGGGGCGGGGCGCGCGGCGCGCCCGGGGCCGTGCGGGCGGGCGGAGAGGGCAGGCGGCGGGGAGGAGCCAACGGGGTGCGGCGGAGCGCTCAGTCCTGGCCCGGGCGGGCTCTGGGGAGCCACGGCTCTGGAGCGGCCTTGGAGGTCGGGACCGAGGCGGAACTCTCGCTGCTTCTGGTCGCTGTCCTGGCAGCAGCCCCAGCTCTCCTTCCTCTAGGCTGCAGCCAGTCAGGAGACTTCTGGCAAGGAAAGAGTGCATGTTATTCTTGTTACTGTTATTAGGGCGATAGGTTCGTTCTTGGCAAGATGCCTTTTCGTCGGCAGGTACCGGCATTTTAGCACAGTGGAGCTGGGTTTTCAGTGGTACTCCATCCTCAGCCCTCCATGAACTCTGCAGCCGCGTTTACTATTCAGTGGGAAAATTACGAAGCACTGCAGTACTCAACCCTCCCAAGCCAAGCGTGTGTGTCAGGGGAGCATTAAAGTATTGACTTTGGAAGAGAGAGTCAATAGAAGTCAAGCTCAATTTAATTTTTTTGAAAAAGGAAAACAATTTCGTAAAATTCTTTTTAAGTCATTCCTATTAGTTCTTTCACATCATTAACACTCTCACTGCACTCCTCTCCTATATGTGTAATGCTGCCGTTTCAAATTCAAAACATTCAGTGAAACTTAGAATTGTGATTTTATCAGAACTAATGTAGGACATGAGAATAATGGGCATTTCCTCCTAGTTCAGTTGCTTCATTGACTGTGGTGTGAAAGGAGGTGAAAGACTTGTTACTCAACCTACTGATAAAGTAATGTTCTTCACTGCTTTCGGCAGGAAATCGACCTTAATTTATTTCTAACCAATCTTTATTTTTTGCTCAGAGGTCAAATTAAGGAGCTCTAGAAATGGAAAACGTGGATATTTTACCCCACACTGGAAAATGCTATAGATGAACCAATTGTCTTTCTATATAAAAAGGATTGTAGAGTATCTTGGTCCACCAACCTTCTGTGAGTCGGAGTTAGGAAAATATTATATTGTTTGAAAAATGTCTATTTTCATTTTATTAGATACAAGAAATATATAGATATAAAATCCACTGTATAAATCAAGATAGGAAGTAAGTCTTCACAAAAATTGTAGCATAGACAACTAGGCAAACTTCAGGTATTTCAATAAATGCCTTTGCAGTGACTTTTCTTGGCTCCAGTATTTTAAGTCATGTGAATTAGATTTATTTTTAAGCATAGGGCTTAAAATAAGTCTGGCAGTTGCTCTAAAATACATTTCCTAAACCCTGCTTGTCCTTTTTTTATTACCATTTTTAGGTATTCTTAGGAATTTTGTTGTTTCTCAGAGAACATGATGTTGCTTTTCATTTGGACACATATGAAAAAGTGCAGGTAGCTAAGACAATACATGAATGGCGCTAATAAATTTACGTGGGAGTGATAACCAACCCCACAGAGCTACTGGAAATATATGTAGGGTCTACATATTTTACTTACCTACAAGACTATTCTGGTGAGTCTGATGATTGTAACACACCAGTAGTGTCTTTTACCGTAAGATAGATGGACTCTATATCAATTTTTTTTAAATAAAAAGGTCCTCATCTGTATTAGGGTAGAATCATACAACATTAAAGTTCTCTTCCAACTTTAAAATTCTGTTGTCTAATTGTAACTAACTCTTCAAAAACATTGTGAATATTTGAAATTGCTCTTAAAGTATGTTAACATTATTTTTTTTTGAGACGGGGTCTTGCTTTGTTATCCAAGCTGGAGTGCAGGGGCAAGATCATAGCTCTTTGCAACCCCAAACCCGTGGATTCAAGGAGTCCCCCTGCCTCAGCCTCCCAAGTGGCTGAGACTGTAGGTGCATGCCACTACACCGGCTGATCTTTTATTTTTTGTAGAAAGGAGGCTTTGCTTTGTTGCCCAGGTGAGTCTCGAACTCCTGGGCTCAAGCACTCCTCCCACCTCAGCCTCCTCAAGTGCTGGAATTATAGGCATGAGCCATTGCTACTGGCCAAGAACATAAGATTAATTTTACAAAATGCTTACCATGTGCTAGACACTACTCCATACACTCTATACATAGTATCTCTTTAAAGCTACACCACAGATGGGGAAACTGAGGTGCAGAGAAACTACATTACTTGCTTAAGGTCTTGAAAGACACAGAATGGAACAGAGACAATCTAACTACAGAACTTCCACTCATAACTACATAGCTACTGACTGTGCAACTCTATCCAATCCTAATACAGTGAAAAGTACTTAACAATTGTACTTTTTGCATTCTCACAGGTTTAAATGAGTCTGTGTAAAAGAGTTGTAGAATTTGCAGTGTGATCAGTGTGATTACAGCCCCTAGGGAAAGACGTGAAATGATTTTAGCAGGTCAGAATAAAAAGGGCCTTGACAATGCTCAGTAACACTGGATTGACTAGAGGTTCTCAAACACTGCGTCCTAGAACCAGTGGCAGTCCTTGGGATTTTCATGACTTGCAACAAAATGAGAGGAATGAAGACAAGTTTTCATAAAGTAACCAGATCTAATTTAAGATTGTCCTTAAGTCTGAAATTGTCTTTTCTATTTTTTTAAAAAATTAAACATATTTCCTTTGAGAAGCAAGAGTAATAGCAGATGGCACATTTTTAAGCTTAGTCAGCAATTAGAAAAATTACAAAGCTAATTCCATGCAAATATATAGACTAAATTAGTTATATCTTAATTTTTCTGAATTTTGGAATTCAAACATCTGGAAACATTTAGTTTAGATGAGACTGATGCTAAAACCTAATGAGGCTGCAGTGCCGAAAGAATTTGAATGAGGCATATTTGGGATCACAGAAAAATCAGAAAGATTTGGGTGTAGACTTCTGTATAGTAAAATTGTAAAAGACATTAAGTTGAGCATTCCTTTGCTTTTGGTTATTTGATAGGAAATAGACTCAGTTTAGTGTTTATGGAATTTCTTTCATAAACATTGACGTGGTAACTAGCTTCCAAAGATGGCCCCCAATGAACCACGTCTCCTGGTATTCACACCCTTCTGGAGTTCCCTCCCACGCTGAATCTGGGCTGAGAACTTGTGACCTGCTTTAACCAGTACAATGCTACAAGAGCAGCACTGTGCCAGTGTGAGGCCTAAGCTTTGAGAGTGCCTGGCAACTAACAGTTTTGTGCTCTGGGAAGTCAAATTAAACTGAGATCACCATGGTGTGAGGAAACCCAGGCTGACTAACCACATGGAGGACAACTGAGGAATCCAGCAGATCTTGAGAACAGAGACCCCAGACTTATGGCCCATCCCAGCAGCCCCCAGCCTTTGATGGCACATGGGGTAAAAACAGCTTATCCCTCCAAGCACTGCCCATACAGCAGAATCACGAGCAAAATATAAAATGGTTGTTGCTTTGAGCCACTAAGTTTTGGGGTAGTTTCTCAGCAATAGATAGCAAAACAGTTGGATTTCAGGAAAAGAATTATTCACAGTAATTATGTAGAGATATAGATTGGGACCACCTTTTATACTTTTTTATATTACTCATTACACAAGGAAGCTGTCCACAACAGAGCATTGTATTATATAGGAATGACATACTAACTCACGTTAATGTCTTTACTTCAGCAGAACCTCTGTCCAAAAGAAATGTAAACACTTTTTAAACAAATTAAGGAATGCTTTCAGCTTTTAAAAATTATTATGAAGTTATCATATTCTCGTGTAAACACATTTTATCTATATTGTTATATTTCCTCAATTTAGAACATAATCGTGTCTATTCTGTCTCAAAAACACACCAAAAATGCAGGTACAATTGCACATTAATTGTAATTTGGTGCCATAAATTGCATGTTATTTGAAAAATGCATACCGCATATGTGTTAACAATGTGATGTGGCTAAGTTCTTATAGAAATCTTTGCTAACAGTTCTAAGAAAGTGTGATACTTATTATGTTTAATGTAATTTTCCAAAGGGCATTACATTTTTTTTTTTTACATAAAATAACTTCACTTGATTCTGAACAACTTTAGTAAAGAGAAGGTTGTGAAAATTTAGGCTTGGTTCTATTTTAACAGGTTGATTTTATATGATTAATGTTTACCCATAAGTAGTTTATATGTACATATTTTTCTAGATCTGAGAAGTGAATAAAGAATATGTTCCTTTACCTAAGAGTACTCCTTTTGGGATCATCCAAGCTTGTCTTATCTTTTTTTTTTTCCGCAGGACATGCAGGCTTGGGAGTAAAATGTATTTTGACATTTTTAGAACTACCATAGCCTTGGTGCTTCCTAGACAGAGTTAGGGATACAGGCATCTATCAAGATGCAGCAAGGAAAAGCATAGGGCAAGCTGTGAGCACAGAGTACCCTTATGACTTCTCCTGACTCACCCTGGAATGCCTTCCTCTAACATCTGTTTTTTATTTCTTAGAAGCTGCTATTCCATTCAACTGCAAAAATACTTGCATTGACCCTAGAAACAGAATGGAGAAATAGAGGGAAACAGATTTTTGTAAAACAATTACTTCCCTGCTTCATGTCACTGCCATCATGGGGACCCTCTGGTTACCTCACTCACAAACCCAAGCATGCATATAGCTGGGTGTTACAATTTATTCCAAGGGTGGGCTGTTATGTTTGTGGAATCCCTGAGAAGAGATGGTGGGTGTGTGATCATAATAAGAAAAGGAAGCCCAGATCAAGGAGATAATAATAGATACACATAGCTGGTTCCATACACTTTCTCGTTTTTTACAATAGCTTCTTATCCAAATTCTCCCTCCTACCCACTGAGTTCCAAGGCCAAGTGTGCTTTCTGACACATTGCTTTTTAGACTCTTACATCTTCCTCTTTAAGGCTCTTAAATTGGTGAATTGCCTTTTTTGGCAATGACAGTCTCTTCGCCCAATATCTACTTCTCTTTTTTATTTGTCA